CGGTCAGGTACCCGCCGTTCCCAGCGTGCACCGCGCCACCTCACCTGGGCGGGGCGGGGCCTTCCCGTAGCTCCACGAAGGGGTTTTCCTCAGGCCGCTTCCCCGCTCCGACGCGCAGCGCGGCGGCAGCGCTTCCCTCCCGCCTTCCCCTCTCGCCCCCCTGAGCGATCATCCTGTACGCAGGCAGCAGCCGCTGCAGCAAGCAGGAACGCAGCGGTTCGTTGAACGGAGAAAACAAAAGGTTATGGCTGACCCATTACATCTCTGTAGAAAACCAACCCAGTCCTTCCAGCCTCTGTCCGCCGGCTGCACGTTAATAGTTCTGGCAGATTTGTTCTAAAGCAAGATGGTGGTGCTACACAGAGTCATTACACTTGGTGTGCGGTAGCTCTGTAACACGGGCACCTGCCTTTCCGCAGATACTCATGGATGTTCTGAGGGAGCACAAGGTACCACAAGCAGAAAAGCACCGCTCGGTACCATGTAGTGAACAGGAACAGCTCTCAGAACAGTTGTTTCACAGCTGAAGAAGGAAAACCCCAACCGTGCAAAGGTTTTTCTTTCAAAGCACAGCAAGGGTTCATTAATGAAACCAATCAATAGGAAGCGGCATCTGCAACAATTTATAGCCACAGCCAGTTAGAGGTGTTTCAGGTCCAACATCGCTCTCCTTGGGGACAAACCAGCACAAGGGACTAAGAAATGCTATCAAATCATAACCCTCCAGTTGCTGGGTGTTCTGCAAGACAGTGGAAAGTTTGCTCTCTTGTAGCACTGACCACCTCCTTGTCCTGTACACCACCCTGTACGAGCCCTGTCCTCAGCAACTACTCGGGCCTCCTCCCTGCACTAACCTTCCCTCTAATTGCAGAGCTTGTCTTGAGACCTGTACTATCCTGAGTCAGAAGCACACTTACATTTTCAGTGACCTTGTATTGAAGCTTTCCTAGTGCAGCGCTACTGCCAGTGCAGCTCTGTGACTGGTAGTAATAACACCAGAGCTTGATTAGACGAGGTATCAGTGGTTTTGTCATGATACGTCTGTGAGAGACTATGCAGTTTGAAAACCTGTAGTAGCTTCCACCCCACCATCTCTTGGCAGTCAACAACACTGCCAAGCCAAGGCCTTTGATTCCTGGCCTGCAAAGCACAGCGCTTCTTGGGTGGCACCGGGCAGCTTAGCGTCTGAGTTCGGCAGGAGCCGGGGCACTCAGCATCTTTCCTCAGATTTTCAGTTTAGAGAGGGTCAGCCCCGTGAAGTGAGTTGTTAAGATGCCTGACTCATTTACTGAGGACAATCTGCAAAAGCGATTTAACAGCACTGAGTCACCCTTAAAGCCCATTCATCAACAGTAGTGCTTCGAAGTGCTTTTTTTCCCTTTGCTGCTTAAATAAAACAGGGAAATTAAATGCAGAAACGACTGCTGATTTCTTGACTTGAATACTGCATTAATGTTAGATTTGCCTTTAACTTACACATCCTATTTAAAATGAAAGCTGGCGTTGTAGTTACATGTTTCCTGTATCTCCATATTCAGAATTTTGTTATCATTGGCTGTTCCTTTTAGGTGTCAAGATTTCCTCCAGTCCTTATAAACACTACAGGAAAGTAATCTCAAACTCAGAAAAAAAGGGATTTAATTCTCAATCAAAGAGATTTCAGTATAACCAAGTGAGTAACAAAAATGTTTGAAGTTTATGTCTTTGTTCTGAATTTTTTGCAACTCATAATGATCCTGTTTTGTAACAAGAATAGCAACTACGTTTAGATCAAGGTTGTTAAATTAACTTTGTAATCACAACTGATAACAGTATGAGAAAAGTGGTAATGCAGTATTATTGGTTTAAACCTTGAAATTACTCTCCATATAGCATCCTTGTCTCTACCATCTCCCCATCTCCCACCCACCCAGCCTTGGCCCTGGTCCCATTTCCAATCTTCCTGAGCTCCCCAGGACACATACATATATGTTGCATATCTTCTGAAATTCAGGAGCAA